GCGCGGAATGGCTGACAGGCCCTGCCGTGATCCACAAAGATCTGCACTTTAGTTAACGATATGATGACCTCCCCGGGTTACCATTGTAAACGTATAGGGTGACCATATTTTGATTACCAAAAACCAGGACACTCGGCCCGGCAAACAGATACTCAAATGATACTCGAAGTTTACTCAAAGACGCCTTATTATTTTAGTACATTTAAAGTAAGCTATGCCTCCTCTGTATGGATAGGAAATATTTAGCCTATATTACAAGACACAAATTCAGGTAGGCTGCTCAGAGGTTAAAGTAAGAGAAAACAAAGACATAAATAATAAATAACTAAAAGAAACCTCCAAATTGAACAAAAATAGCTTTCACAAACTAACAAAATATATATCTTTAGTTTTCTTCCTCTTTATCCTGTTTTTCTTCCTAATCCTCCTTGTTTGCCAATCTATATTTTACTACAGCTGATCTTTTTTGAAAACCAGGAAATTTTCATCATTTCATCATTTCATAAAAAAAAAAAAAAACAACCCGGACAGGACATGTCCTGGGAAAACAGGACTGTTGGTCACCCTAGTAAACGACCAAGATTGGTTCTAAACTAGTTTGATTGAGTTAGCGATAATTCACGTTTAATGACGCTATTGATTTGGAACACGTGGGTGTTTGTTTTCTAACAGCGTCTGTCAAACCAATCAGATTAGCTGAGTACACCTGTACAACCACGGAAACAAATAGCGCAAAGTAAACACATTGATGGGACGGGCTCGTAGCGAGAGAAAAGCTGCGATGGCTCCAGGATCAAATAGCAATCAAGCGGCAGTCAGACAAAGCGGAGGTTTCTGTGACCGGACTCCAAATGAGCGCGCAAGAGACAACTAGAGAAACAGAAAGCTCATAAGTGCTCGCCCTCGATCTCTATTTGCTCAAACTAAGAATTGAAGATCACTCCTCGCGTTGCGCGCACACACATAGGCTCAATCTATCACCACACAACGCACTCTCATGGGAGAGGGAACATAACACATCCGACCATCGCCAGATAAATGGGTTAACACCAAGCACGTGCCCATAATGTGCTCCCGGGGACGCGGCAGACAGTCCCGTCTTCAGTGGGCAACAGACGTCTATCGATCCCTCTGTATGTGTGCATGTCTGTTCTGTGTACTAGACTCAAAGCGAGGGAAAGAGTGATGGGAATGTCACCAGTGCCTGCTCTGCTGACAGTGCGTAAGGACTGTTGACAAGTTAAGATGAAGCCTCACACACAGGCTCTCTCAGGAATAATAGGGCCCTTTTTCTTTCTGTCAATAACCATTAAGTGTTTTGGGGTGTGTGTGCACTCCAACAATATATGAAATATATGAAGGTGAAACTGTGGCCTGATGTTTTAACAGTCAACCAGGTCCATTTCATGGCGTGATGTGAATCTGGTTGTTAAGTAAAAACCTAAAATGCTCCTTAAAAATAACATTTCACTGCAAAAAAGGACTCTAATGTTTTTTTTTGTTAAAAAATACAATTAGTTTGTTTACTTCTAGCAAACTTGCAACTTTTAGGAACAATAAGATTTTTAAGTAACAGCAAGTAACCTGTTAATTTGTTTTTACAGAACACAGGAACCTCTCCCAACATACACTGCTGCATTAATAATTATAGTACAGTTGTTTTACCCTTTATTTCTGTAGTTTACTCAAACATTTACATCCCTTAACATTTCAATTTACTTTCATGAATCATGATGATGTCAATAGTTGAAAATTCACCCCGTTTCTAAATGCATATTATTTTTTTATTGTTATATTAATCGTCCATATATTAAATGTTAAACTAAAAAAATCCTCTTTTTTATTCTTTAAATTCAAATATCATAACCCAATCTTCTGGAGAAACAACAGACTTCTCTCTGGTGACGAATGCCAGACTTCTCCAATCATTTAGTTGCTTATACTCTGCCACTTCCTCACAATGGTCTGCAAGCCTGCATTAAAATATGCCTCCATCCAATCAATAACCGATAGACTGAACCAAATCCGTACCCTCCTTTTGTACGTCACACTGAAAAAAAGATCTGTCGCTATTCCCATTAAATTGTGACTTTAAGACAATACAATTACATTTAATCGTTTAGCAGCAGACGCTTTTATATAGTGCTGATGAAAAAGCTGTCATCTAGCTGTTTCTTGAAGCAGCTCAGGTTAAGTAAGGTCATTCCATCAGCAGGGAACAGTCCAGTTAAAGGTCTGTGCAAGTGATTTTATGCCTCTTTGGGATGTCTCCACATTAAGCCGTTCGCTTGGAGAACACAAAGTTCCTGGATGGCACATATAGTCTTAAGTAGTGAGTTTAGGTATGGGGTGAAGACTAGCCAACAGTTGTTCTGCAAACATCATTTGATGCGAGTGCCAATTGGCAACCAGTGCAAATTGAAGAAGAGAGGTGTGACATGCGCACTCTTCACTCTTGCCCCTGGGTTCTGGATCAGTTGCAGAGGTTTGACAGTACATGCAGGCCTGCCGAGAGAGCATTACAATAGTCCATTCTGAATAGAACAAGAGCTTGGACAAGGAGTTGTGTGCATGCTCCGATATGAAGGGCCTGATCTTTAGCATTAAGACTACGTTTTTTTTCTGATTTACACGGAACAATTTGAAACTATTTAATTGAAGGGAACAATCTGCATATTTGTTTTAGAGACCTTCTTGAAACTGACAAAAAAATGTAAGTCTTGGCAGACTGATATTTTGGTTCAGTGAAGACATCTACTTTGAAAAATGAAGAGTGAACCTACGTTTTACACCTATTTTTTTACTATGTTAATTAAGTGAAAATTGATATTAGCATCTGCATGCTGAAGGTTTGTATATGTTGCACAACATGCCTTAAAAAGAGACTTTCTTGAAAATTTCAAATGAAATACCATAATAGTTTGCCGATACTGATTTGTTTTTAAAGCTCTGGTCAAGAAGGATCCATTGTAACATTTGAATACTGGTCTCTCTCTTCCTCCCTCTTTCTCTTCCTCTCCATCTCCCTCTCTCCGGTTGTCTTTCTCTTTCCCCTCTGCGTTTGTGAATGGGACCTGCGGCCATTGTCTCTGTGTCAATCACACACTCTCACACACATACCCAGGAGACACACAATTGACATTTGGCGGATTGCTCTGTGTGTGTGTATGTGTGTGTGTATGTGTGTTTTAGGTTATTAAGATAAGGCAGGTATGCCGTAGGTTCTTCATTAACATGTTAGGGGATCTCATCATCCTTTCTCCTCTAGCACTGTGGCCGTAATTGGGTAAGGCTATTAGACACAGAGTGATCACGCCTCTGTGATGGCAGGAGGGGGATGGTGGCGTGGCCAATGGGGGAGGATGGAATCTTATAACTATATGACACAGTGTGTGTGTGTGTATGAGAGCACATCTATATCTGTGTGTATATGTGTGCTGATGGGATTGGACTATTAAAGCTGATGTCGGTTTAGGTAGACTTTAATAGTCCTGCTAAGCAGCGGGTAATTGGCCGTATCCGGAGAAAATAGGAGAGATTGATTTAGAGGTGTCTGGGTTTAAATGGACACCTTGGAGGATGAAATTTTCTGCTGTAAAGTCAGGCTATGTAGTGCCATCTGTAACTGCACAAGACGAGGGAGAAATAAGGATGAATAATAAATACTCTTATAATACTAAACATGTGATTCTTAATAAATTGATCCTGAATTTGTATAGGGTAGGCTACAGTTTTGAATGTGCCATTCCATTTTTTTTTTTTTTACTATCCATGGCTTTATCTTTGATCTTTACACTATTTTACCATGTGATCTCCCTCCATGTGGTCTAATTTAGACATTTTCCTTCCATTAACTGATGGTTTGTGAAGGATTGGTGCTGCTGAGACATATCAGCAGCATTTGTACTGGTAACTTGCTACTGATTTTGCTGTCTTAAATCACATTCCACCTTACTAATCAGATACTGGCTAGAAAAAAAGCTGAAGTGAGACAGTGGGCTTCTTAATTTATCTTGTTAAAACAGGAGGAATGAATGGTGTTAAAATACAGAGAAATATAAGCAAAATTGTTTCAGTCTGACCAAAATTGAATCTTAATCGAAGAATGATAAAATGACAAAAATATCACAATAATATATCATGTAATTTTAAAGGATATTTTAAATGTACACTAGCAGTAGTGAATACTTTCAATGTTGTATCTAGCATATACTGTAATTCTGTTTAGAAATTAAACACTGCCATCTAGTGATTCGTGTGAGATTCACAGTCTTCACTACTGTTGTGAAAACCACAAATCTTTTAGCTGAAAGATATTAAATAGTACAGTAGCCTAATAATAATAATGATGATGATGATAATAATTAAATGTGTAATAAAAAGTACACTCTCGGGATGGGTTACCAGAGTTTTACTTCAAAACTAATTTTGTGAAATTGTTACAAACAAGATGGCTTTACATTTTAGTTCCTCGCTATGTCATTACATTTTATATTTATATTACATTACATTTTAAACTGGCTTCTAAAACATATTCTAACACTTAGTTTTTACTCGTAGAAATTGTTTCACCTGTAAATTATAAGGTTATCCTACATTTTCCTAAAAACAATACATCATTTTTCCAGTATTAGGCCTCATCTTTGTCTTTAAAATCTAATATTTGTTTAATAACAAACAAATAACAATATGTAACAAAATGTTTATGTGTGTCTGCGACTTCAGTGCGATGCTATTGGAACGAAATACTGCCGATCTCTACTCTATCGATTGACGTGCAAGGCGAAGACAACACATAAAGAGGGGAGAAATAATGTCTAAAATCCGTGCAGAACGGTTCCATAGGTTCAGAAGTGTGCAATGATTTTATAACTAATAACAAATTGCTATTTCTAAATAGTGCATACAGTTAATATTATCACTGAGCTCCGTGTCAGTATCAAGCAACATCAGTATTGGTTACAAATCTCACCTTGAGCGGATTGGTTTGGCCCTATTCATTAACGCCACCTCTCAGCAGCACCCCTCCCCCTCGGACCAAACGAAACGCTTTATTATGAAAGGGATTTAATTAGCTACATTTTATTATTTGTTATCAGTCTCGCTATCAGTACTGGAATGCGACTAGTAAATCAGGACCGATTCTCTTCGTCTGTACAATAACCATTATCGCATCATGTATCTTCTGCACCCGCTGCTGCAGATCTGTGCGCTGCTTGATGCGACACTGTGGCTGGCGGTCTCTGCCAGCCCTACCGATGATAACGTACTGCGGGCCGGCCATGGAGAACACGGAGAGCCGGGCCATGAAGAACCACATAAGGACTCCTACAGCACATTCGCCTCCGAGTTCCTCGAGTCCAGATACCTCTCAGACGAAGGTACGAAGGAATAAAACGACAATGCCTACTTTGAAATCATGAATGTTGTTTTTGTGTCGTTTCTCTGTAAATGTGAGAAGCAATTCCTATAGTGAATGGTCACACTGTTTGATGCCCTCCCTCGGCCACACTACAGTCCTTTTAATTGGGTTAATTGTATTGTCTGTTAGTGATAAATATTAGCAATACTTTTATTAGATATTGTTTTTAATTCACTGGTCCTTTCCACGAATCCCTTCCATTCATATGGTATAAAATCAGCACCTTGGTCAGCAGCCCAGAAGCCTGTGAAACTCAGTTCCAGTTATCAGCAGACTTTCCCAAGTCTATTTAAGTCTATTAAGCATGTCTATTTTATATTCTGCAGCCTATACTGTATGCAGATGCCCAGATAGTGATACATAAAGTCATGACTCATGACATATCAAAGGAATAGAATAGAAATAGGAACTCTTAATACCACATGACTGGGCCAGTGTTAGATAGATAGATAGATAGATAGATAGATAGATAGATAGATAGATAGATAGATAGATAGATAGATAGATAGATAGATAGATAGATAGATAGATACAGCTATGCAACATACATGATGGGACAATGTTCAATAGTATAAGACATGGTCAGTCTGTAAAGCTGCTTTGAAGCTATATGCATTGTGAATTAAATTGAATTGAACATAAATGAAAACTAAAATAAGATTTTAAATTAAATCAAAACAAATGCAATTTTTTTCACGCAGGGCATTTTTTCATGATGGGACAATGTTTAATTGTATAAATGTGTAAATGTAAAACACTGTGTAATGTACAAAACCATACGATATACACTACCATTCTAAAATTTTGGGTCAGTAAAATTTGAATGTTTCCATGTTAATATATTCAGTGTTACATGATCATTCGTATATGTTGATTTGGAGCTCAATAAATATTTTCTATTTATTTATTTTTTTTAAAGCTTAATATAAAGCTTTTGCTACATTATGAATGTCTTTATTGTTCTTTTTTGATCCATCAATGTGTCCTTGCTGAATAAAAAGGTTAATTTCTTTCTTTAAAAAAAACAAACTTAAAAACAAACTTGACCCCAAACTTTTCAGTCGTAGTGTCATATATAATGTACAATACAACAAGATATAGGCCTAGAGGCCTCTAAGGGGTCTGTATTGGTATACTAGAGGTCTACTCAATGTTTAATCTCTAAAAAAAAGTTATACACCAGTACATTATGCAAACTAACCAACTAAATCATTGACCCTCCCATATTACTATGTATTAAGTAAAATTAAAATGTAATGTAAAAATTATATTGCATCATTGTTGTTTATTTTAGTAGTAGGACTAGCTGAACCTGTTCATTAATGTATTAGTTTTCTGATGTCTCATAGGTTACCCCTTCCCAACTGCACCTCCTGTGGACCCATTTGCCCGCATCAAAGTTAGTGACTGTGGAGTAACCAAGGGATGCATCAGGTGAGTGCATGGAACAAAGGTTAAAATTTGTCTAGGAACAATATATTGTTGTAGTAGTGTCAAATAATAGTGTATTGCATTCTGTACACTCAGGAGTTATAAATGTCAATCAGCCAATAGCTTGTCTGTGTCGTTCAGTGGCATGTTCTGCAGCATGAAATAATGTAGACTTCTTGTAAGTCTGTTTAGGATTGTTCTAATAATTAGAAACAGGTTGATGGTAACACCTGCTGGGCAGTACTGCCTGACACGCCTACGCCGGTGTCAAATTGCCAGCCGCAGGGTTATGGGAGCCACCCTTCACCGATGTTTCGCCCCTTTAGTCCCAGAACATCTCAGGGTGGTGGGGCAACAGACAGGGACCTCTCCCTGCGACTGGACTTAGATCTCAGGTCCTTTTGCCTTGAGGCTTCTCAGCACCCCAGCTCTTGCCATTCCTCCTCAGCCATAGCTAAAAGCTTCCTTTTCTCCACCTCTTCAGCAAGATCTTAAAGGGACAGTTCACCCAAAAATGAAAATTCGTCAAATGTCATCATTTACTCATCCTTATGTTGTTCCGTGAAACCCAGGAATCAACTATTTTTGTCCATATAATACACAGGACCACACTGGCTTTAATTTTATGGAGAAATAATAACTGAGATATTTTTCAAAATATCATCTTTTGTGTTCCACAAAGAAATTCAAACATGTTTGGAATGACAGGAATGTGCGTACATGAATAAAATGTGTGCCTCCATTTATTTGTCTCTCTCTTGCTGTAGATATGGCAAACCAGGCTGTGACGCAGAGACCTGTGAATACTTCCTGAGTTTCAGACGCATTGGCACAGATGTGGAATTCGAGATGAGTGCAGACACTGACGGATGGGTTGCTGTCGGTTTCTCCTCTGACAAAAAAATGGTAAAAGGAGAGGGAGTGAATATAAGGTGCGAATGCTTTCAGACATGCTAAGAAATACACAATAATATTGTTGTTGTAGGGAGGTGATGATGTCATGGGCTGTGTTCATGATGATAATGGACGTGTACGGATCCATCATTTCTATAATGTGGGCCAGTGGGCCAAAGAGATCAAGCGCAACCCGGCACGGGACGAGGAGGGCATTTTCGAAAACAACCGCGTCACCTGCCGCTTCAAACGGCCTCTTCATGTGCCACGGGAGGAGACTCTAGTGGACCTGCACCTAAGCTGGTACTATCTGTTTGCTTGGGGACCTGCCATACAAGGTAAGTCATATAGCCCCATTTTAAAGGAGCCCTATTGTATTGCATTTTTATGCTTTAGTTAAGAGTGTAATGTCTGCAAAGTTAAAAAGCACAAAGTCCACTTCAAAGGTAGTTCATTAAGTCAAGAACACACATGACAATAAATGATTAGGAAATTGAATAAAATGCAAATCAAGTTGATGATTAAAATTTGGCGTTATGGCTGTGTTCAGGGACTCCTTTGACTTTTCATGTGCACCATGAATTAGCAGAGAGTCAGAGGACAGCAGCAGCATTATGAACTATGCTTCTAAGCACAGCTCGAGAGATGTAGTTCCAACCTTGTAAGTTTGTGAGACGTTTTGTGAATGTTCACTGGTACTATGGTTCCAGGAAGTGTTAAATCGTTCTGCTATGTTGGTAACGATGGAACTTTTGGGAAACTCAGCTCAGAGTGTTTCTGACAGACTGGGAAATGAGGTGCTGCAACATATGTAAAAAATAATGTTTTTTTTTAACATCCAAGTATGAAAACCTATTCTACTAGACCCCAAAAACTAAATCACAACAAGGTTAAGGTAACAAATTTAGCCCGGTTTATGATTTTTACCCTGTTTACAGACATTTTGTTCTGTTTTTCTTCTCAGGTTCCATCACAAGGCACGACAATGACTCCCCACCGGTGTCAGACCGCATGATTAGCATCTATAAATACGAGGACATTTTCATGCCTGCCACAGCCTATCAGACATTCTCCTCTCCCTTTTGCCTCCTTCTCATTGTTGCTCTTACTTTCTACCTGCTGATGGGCACACCATAACCAGCCAAGAGAGAAGGAATACAACTAACCATGCAGACATGACTAATACAAATAGCTTAACAGTATTAGAAACAGGCAGCAATAAATAATATGACAGACACATTGTGATTCTACAATATCCTCAATCTACAGAAACTAAAATGGTATTTGGACTGTGGATTAATATTAGTTATATACAAGCAATGATTCTCATTCAGAGGTGAGAGTCAACCATTATGTTATAACCCTGAATCTGAGCCAAATTAATGTCAATATTTAGTATGCTTAAGGTGTGGTCACAGTGAACCTGAAGGTGCAAAAGATTGCCTGAAGTGATGCATGTAGCAAAAACATTGACCAGCTTTCTGTTGGTCAGTGCGGCGAATCTGTAAAAAACTTGAACCCCTGGGAAAATCTTTTGCTCGATTGTGTGGATTCGGATTTTGAAATGACTGCATTTCAGCCGTGAAAATTCACCAAACAATAGTAAAAGAAGTGTCCAAACCTTTACAGTGCCACATATCATGACACACTTTGAACTGCCTCCTATTGAATTTTAATCTTTTGCCAAATCTCAGAAAAAAATGCTCTGCTGTTTGTAGTTGCCTGCTTTCCATTATTTTTCCTGTACATTATAGCTTTGATGAACATTTATTAATGCTGTGAATTTTAGAGGGATGTAAATTAATGCCTGTGACTGACTACCCAACTTACAGCACTACATAATTGGCCCTCCAGCAGCACAAACACACACACACACACACATAATATTCATAACACATCACTGCCTTCCAGTTAGCCAGTATTGCCAGCTCAATATTTGATGATGCATGCCAGCAAACAGCTTCATCTGAGCCATTTAAAACAGTGTTATACTGGAATAGAACCAGTCCAGGAGAGAATCATGTGGTTTTTATTCCAATAAATAGAAGACTTTCTATACTAAGGACTTCATGCCATTGCAAAACTTACAAATGTTTCAAGAATTGATTGCTGCCTGTGTTGAACGACTTGGACCACACCAGTTAGCGTGTGGTTGTATACGGTTCTAATTCTTTGGCACTCTTTGAGAATATCCTGTAAAAAAAAAAACACACACACATTTGTATAACAGACTGAAGAGAGCCATTTAAAGATGTTTAGAAAAGTATTTTGTTTTAAATACATTGTTATATTTACCTGAAGGATATATATCAGGAAATGTACCTACTTGGAGGAGTGATACGATTCCTTTTTGATGCAGGCCTGGTGCAGAGATATTCGTGTAATGTAGCATGAATGGAGACATTGTATGCTAATGGTCAAGGAATAATGTTTGTAAGGTTGCCAGTGTTATATTTTAATATATTTTTGAAATTTTGACATTGACAGTATCAGAGAATATGCAATGATGAGTGTGCTTTAGTGAAGGACTGTGAGCCATTATTTTAATTTAAACATGTCATAAAAGCTATTAGCAGCTTACATTCTGAAAGGTTAACTGTGAATTCTCTCGCTAATTGGAAGCAAAGATGCCTGTTTGATGATACTGAACACATTCTGCACTTTTTAATAAAACTATGAAGACAGCTGAAAATGTGTACTTTTGTTATATTTGTCTAGATAAAATGGGAATGTTTTCCAAATATCTGAACTCGGAAAAATAGTATTGAGGATTTTTAATCATCCTATTCAACACCAATCTTTTGATACATTCAACCATTCAGTTGAATTATGTTATGTTCAAAGAAGAAAGATTGTCATACTGGTTTTGGAACGAGCAAAAAAAATGGCACTTTTTTGGTGGTGGGAGGTGACGATCCCTTTAAAGATTTGTTCAAAAACGCCTTTGAACTGCCATTATATTGAAAAACAACCCAAGTAAGATGAGTCATGTTCCCTTGTTTACGGCATTCGAATACTACTTTATTAGTAAAAAATAATATTTCAGTCGTGTATTATTTGACTACATTTCCCAGGCTACTACACACTTTACGTCACTGCCCAACCTTCAATTCCATAAGTGGTGAATCCGATTCCTCCGGCCTGAAACGCAGCGATGCCAGCGACCATGGCAGATACAGTGGACCCTGGTCCAGGCGCGGCCACTGACCGGGACACCCCGCGCACAACCCGGCCACATTTCGTCTCGTTCAGCGATACCGTTCAGCCAGCAGTCGGGATGGTTAGCCAACTACTGAGCCAGCAGTCCCTGAAGTTCGACAAAAACATCAAACAGGCCTTCTACAACACGGGAGCGATGATCTTCGTAGCGATCTGTTGCGGAGCATCGGTGTTGGTTTACTTCATCCTGGAGGCTTTTCTACGGCCGCTGCTGTGGGCAGTGCTGTGCGGCACTTTCCTGCACCCGTTCAAGTACTCGCTCGCCCGCCTCGGCCGCTCTTGGCTCAGCAGGCTGCAGGACAGCGGGACGCCGATAGTAGTGGGCACTCTGCTGGTACCGGTGTGGTGCGTGAACTACGGGGTGGAGACACTGGGAGAAATGGTCGTAGATCGGCTCAATGTACTGCTGGCAGTTGGGGCTGGTGTACCCCTGCTTTATTTCTTATATCTGTTCTGGAGCGTCATTGGCATGCAGGTGATCCTTAGTCACGTCTGTGCCGTAATCTGTTTCGGCCTGGATTGTTTCAGCTATACTTGGGTGAGTACTGTAGTACTTTGTATAAGGACACGTGAATGGGACAGAGACACGCCTCCTGTGTCAGACCAAGCACAGGTGGACGGGATGGGATTGTGAAAACGGGACTGTTAAAATTCACTTCTTCATAGATAACATGGTGTAAACATGAAAAAACAATAACGAAACTTTGATACAATTTGAACAACAACTTGAATGCAAATTGTAAAACATTGTTTACTATGTATTGAGCGAAGCCTGCATGCCGCAACAACTTTCATTAATACGATTTATAATTCTTACACTATATAATTGATGTCACACAATTTTGTCATTGTATAGACATCCTCATTATCCATCAGAGAACCATATTTTTGCATTGCAAGTCAGCTGCCTTCAGATAACCTAACCACAGGCAAATGTGTTTGTATACAAAAAAACACATCTGCTCATGTGAAATATCAACATTTCTTGAACCTATGCTTAACATGTCTGAGTAGGAATTGTAGCATGACATCCCAGATACCAAAAATATGGCCTTAATGAGAGATCACAATGCATATTTCAAGTTCTTTTAAAGGTACAAGAGCGCTACACGACTACATTTCACCATGAACTTCAATTTAATGACCTCAGTATCTGATTTATTTATATATTTACTTTCTTGGCTTAATTGAATTCATACAGGTCACATGAAAACTGTTCAAATTGTAATTGGGAACAAATGCCCCCTTTAACAGAACCTTGTGATTTACTTATAACAAGAAAACACAAAGCTCATCTGGGGGTGGAGCTGGATTTTTTTTCTTTTATATCTAAGACCTAAAGAATGACAAAATTTGTGTGTTCAAATGTGTGTGTTGTTGATACACTCTTGCAGTGCAGTGCATATGAGGGCTGGGAACATACTGGGGGCTTTTTTGATTATAAACAGATTGGTGGCAAATGTTTGGTGCAGGGCACAGTAGTTACCAGAGATGTCCAAATGTTCTCTCTTTTTCTCTTTGGCAGGTTGGCACGTTAGTTGTTGGCTATGTGTTGGCAGTAGCCTTTAAGTGGACGCCTGGCATGGAAAGTTACTTGCGTTCCCTGTCTGTGCCTGTATGGACAGCACTTATTTTCTACCTGGGTAAGACCCTTCTGTTATGAAATAGTGAATGATTCTGTTTGGGTTGTATGTGTTATATCTTAAAGAGCAGAGTGGTCAATGGACAATATAAAGCTTGTATATATTACGTCACACTATTTAGATTAAAGCTTCACAAGATAAACAGTAAATAATATGTATTACAATTGCTGCAATGAAATTTATTAGGGGTGTAACAATATATCGTGCCACAATATATCACAACACAAAAATGCAACAATACGTATCGTGGATAGTCCCCCACAAATAAAAATATCAGTGGCCGACATTATTTTAAGTATATCTAGTCAGTGGAAGAGGGCAAGCATATTCATATAAAATAATTCTGTATTTTCTGCTTCAGAAAGAATCATGAATATTTTTAATCTGGTGTCACCATTGTCCTTGGCTTACAAACACCAAATCCGAGCCTATTCGTTTAAACCCACAATGTAATATCAAATTTAGCATTTTAATCAACAGTGCATTTTTTGTTAACCTTCTACCATTTGTCTTGGAGTATCGCAATAATATCTTATCGTGAGTTCAGTATTGTGATATGTATTGAATCGTGACATGAGGGTATCGTTCCACCTCTAACATTTATATTTAATTTACATAATTTTTACAAAATTGATAATGAATGATTTATTAATAATTTGATAGAAAGTAGTAAATCTGTAAAACAAAAAAAAAAAGATAATACTAATAGAAAGGTAAGCGCTTTAGTTCTTTTTCATATACAGTACACTGTACTATAGCAGTCCCCCACAAATAAAAATATCAGTGGCCGACATTATTTTAAGTATATCTAGTCAGTGGAAGAGGGCAAGCATATTCATATAAAATAATTCTGTATTTTCTGCTTCAGAAAGAATCATGAATATTTTTAATCTGGTGTCACCATTGTCCTTGGCTTACAAACACCAAATCCGAGCCTATTCGTTTAAACCCACAATGTAATATCAAATTTAGCATTTTAATCAACAGTGCATTTTTTGTTAACCTTCTACCATTTGTCTTGGAGTATCGCAATAATATCTTATCGTGAGTTCAGTATTGTGATATGTATTGAATCTTGACATGAGGGTATCGTTCCACCTCTAACATTTATATTTAATTTACATAATTTTTACAAAATTGATAATGAATGATTTATTAATAATTTGATAGAAAGTAGTAAATCTGTAAAAAAAAAAAAAAAAGATAATACTAATAGAAAGGTAAGCGCTTTAGTTCTTTTTCATATACAGTACACTGTACTATAGCAGTACGGTCAAATAATTCATTAGATAGAACTGCTACTAAAAGGCTTCCCATTCTCTATCTTTATTAGTTTACTGTCTTTGTTTAATAGTTTTATCCAATGAATTATTTGTAATAAATGATCCTGTGCATTTATGGTCAGGTGGTGGGGTTCTTGACACTGTTAAAGTAAAAGCTGAAAGTTTAGCATTGACCTACAGTGCTGTCAATGAAGTAATGCTAAAAAAAATCTCCCTCTCTTTTTCCAGTCTCTCTGACAGGGTCGTGGCGGGTGCCTGTGTTTGTCGTGGTGGTGTTCCTGCTAATAGTGGGATCTCAGCAGAAGCCTGTTGTTCCAGGGAAAGGTCAAGAAACAGGCTCTCTTACCATTTACACTCTGTTCTTTAGGTCCTCTGACCTTTTGTCCTCTCTTCTCTCTGTATAGGCGAGCTGTCTGGTCAGGTTCTCTCCTTTGCTGCTAACACAATCTTCATGGCAATCTCCTGCAGTAATTTCAGCCATGCTGAGAAGATACAGGATGAGACAAGCACCAAAGAACAATCCACAGGTGGCACAAAAAAAGCAAACAGTCCACTATTAGATTCTAATTTGTGTTAATGTTTAAAGTTATTTGCAATGCTGATTTTGTGGAAAGTCAGCTAGATTTTCCCCTCTTCTTCTCCTCACAGTGTTGGACTCTCCGATGGACTCTCCGAAGGTGGTCTTCAGCCGGAGTAGAAGCAGACTAGAGTTCAGGGGTCTCCAGCACAAAGAGAGGACCAGTGATATCTACTTTGTGCTGCTTGCGTGGGCTATAGTGTTGGTGCAGGTCTGGCTCAACCTCTGGATCTTACAGTTGTTGCCCATCCCTGTTGCTGGTAAATTCTGTGTTCATTGTCCTGAGGTCAGGAGTGTGAAGATAGTGTTCACATTTTCATGAATGAGTGCTATGTTTTTCAGTTTGGGTCCTGAAGAAGATGTTTGTGCGTTTTGGGATGAAGGACTTCGCTGGACGGACTCTACTGAAATGGTGGTCGGCTTCTGAGAAGTTTGTCAAAGACAGACAGGATGCCCTGCTGCCTGGACCGATCAAAGGCTTAGCTCAGTTCTTGCTTCGGGTGGACACTAAGGTAACGCCTCAAATAGATACACCCACACAAAAGCGCTAGTGTGTCTGCTGACCCGCTGTCCTTAACAGCACTTGACTGCTGGTAGTTGTCACCACATGTGTGCACATTTATTTTTGGAGGCGACAGAGATCTGTGATTACAAAGAGGAACTGAATGTGGTTGTGGCTTGCTAATTCTCTTTTTTACTTGCACAACTAAGGCACGAAGTACTCATAACTGACTGAATAAAAGCTATGGAGCTTAGATGTGGATGTTTCATGACTTGTAGAGGCATGTGGGGAAAAAAAGAATTATTCAGCAGATGTATTTTCAATGTGAATGTGTTTTTCTGTAAGAAAATGTCATTAACCAAATAGTTGGAACACAATTAAATGCACTTCCTGTCTTTTTGATTAGCTCAAATCAAGAGTAACTATTTTTAGTCTTTGCATAGTCATGTTGTATTTCTGGTTATTGTTGGTAGTTTTTGATTTCCATTTATTGTTTGAGGTTTATGATATTAGGAAGTCAACTCAACACTCCCAAAAATGTCCCCACAGTTTCTATTGTCCCTTTCACTGTCTGAAGTGAATGACAACCCACAGCAGTCAATCTAGATTAAACGTCTCGGGTTGTGACTATAACCCTTGTTCCCTGAGAAGGGAACGGAGACTGCATATATATTGGGGATGGGCAACGATTAATCGCGATTAATCGCATCCAAAATAAAGGTTTGTGTTTACATGATATATATGTTTGTGTGGTGTGTATAATTATTTTTTATATATAAATGCTAGCACATGCATGTATATATTTAAGAAAAATGTGTTCTTAATATATCAAATATTTATATTTATACATAATATTAATTATGTATAAATATATATAAAGTACATGCATGCAAATATTTCTTAAATATATACTACATGCATATGTGTGTATTTATTTATACAAAATAATTATACACACCACACACATATATATTACGTAAACACAAACTTTTATTTTGGATGCGATTAATTGCGATTTATCGTTGCCCATCCCTAATATATATATATATATATATATATAGTTTTGTGGCTTGTATTAAATGACATTTTTTTTTTCTTGATGTTATCTTAATTCACAGATGAGGCAAAATGTTAAATACTGTAAAAAAACTGTAATTTGCTTTATGTAAGCATCATATCCCTCACTGACCGTCCACAAGATTGAAAGGAGGTAAAAAAAAAAGACGAAGACACTTAAAAAATAAGAATTGTTGCAGATTATTAAGCTTTCTTTTGCCCACTTTTAAAGCCCACCAAATCACACCTTCTCTAATTGTTCACTATGAATATCTTTCTCAAATTTCACCGTCCGATCTTGTTCTGTTTTTGCCTTGAAAACACGTTGAAAACACTGCTTTCACTGCTGATTGGTTGTTTCTAATAACCGTTTGTCTCTCTGTCTCCCTCCTCAAAGCTCTGGCATTGGCTTAACAAGCAGGTAAATCATTTGTGCTAGCAGGTGTACAAGAGAAAGAAAGGAATAACAAAGGGGAAGAGAAAGAAAGAATGACAGTGTGCTTTCATTAGAAGCTTTGGAGTGATGCTTTCCCCTCCCCACTGTCACCCCTCCATCTTTGAGCTTCTGCTTAGCTCACTGGCTTTTCCTGCTGTGTGGCACTTTGCGCTGTGGAAGGGAGCATGCGCTCTGGATGTGATTGAGATTCTGACACACTAACTGTCAGGAAAAAAAATGCAGAACAAAACCCCAAGAGAGTCCACCGCCTCTTCCACAGCTCTTGAAGTGTGCTGGGCTGGTTGTCTTCAGAGTGTGTGAGATGCATTTAGGGAGAGAATAGAATGGAGGGTTGGGTGAAGGGATGCTCTGGTCTGCTGAGACCAAGGCTAGTGGTGTTGCTGGGTACTTCAGGTACAGGCAGGTTTGGTAAAGCGGTTTTCTTTTGTCTGTTCCTAACTAGACACTCAAGCTGCCTGCTGCCCTATAAGGTATAAGTGATTGTCTTCATTAAGGACTTCACATAGGAAACGCCGCACACCACACAAATTGATCTCTGCATGGTAAACTTCACTTCCCTTGATTTCAGTAGTTTGTTTCCTTTAAGACAAGTCATTTCACTCGGCGGCCATCATTGAAACGTCTCTCGGGCATTCAAGTGCTGCTCCTATCTCTTTGAATGGGGAAATATAATATTCTCTCCAAAACTGTTTGCCAAGCTTACGATTAAATTTGAAATCACCAATGAAATCTGTCAACAACTGTCTTATAAATTTTGTTTCTAAACGCTTGAATCATGGCTGAGGGTGTGTCTCTGCTTCTATTGGAGCCGGAGCTTCTAACGCCAGCTGCAGTGATGCTATGACATTACCGATTGGCTCTTTTATTTAGAAGGTGGATCTTATTCCGCCATATTGTGCGTTGAACTTTCTCCCATTCATAGTAGTGAACCATCATTCTGTATATGAAGAGTTCAGATGCAAAAGCCTCTAAATGCCATTCGAAATTTTCTTCTTTAATGATGATTTTTATCAAACTTGTATATTTAAGTTCAGTAATTTCACTTAAATAACAATTAATAGGTAATTATCATTGCCATTTAAGTGAAATCACTGAACTTAAATATACAAGCTTGATAAAAATGATCATTCTAGAAGAAAATTTCAAATGGCACTTAGAGGCTTTTGCATCTGAACTCTTCATATTAAGTCTTTGGTTTAATGTTAGCATGTTGCTAAGCTAACAGCTTGATGCGCTAACAAGCACACGCAAATATTGAGTAAAATCATCTCATTTTAATTACATAACTTAATAATAAGTATAATATGTGAGTATATAAATAATATATATATGTGAATAATATAACCATGTACTGTACAGTAAACCCTTTATTAAAAAATAAAAAAAGAAGAATATTTATCAAGGCTACATTAAATTGATCAAAAGTGATGACTAATGTTATATTTTATTTTATAAAGCTTTTTTTGAGTTCATTTGAACTTTCTATTCAACAAATAACTCTAAAAATGTTAAGCAGGAAATCCGTTCATGGATCATCATCATCATCATCGATAATAATAAGAAATGTTTCTTGAGTAGCAAAATCAGCATATTAGAATGATTTCTAAAGGATCATGTGACAAAGTCTGGAGTAATGATGCTGAAAATTCAGCTTTGCCATCACAGGAATAAATTACATTTTCAAATATTTTCAAATAGCACATAGTTATTTTAAATTTTAACGATATTGAACAATATTACTCTTTTACTCTATTTTTTTAATCAAATAAATCTCTCATTATTTAAAAAAAACATGATAAAACAAAATCTTACCAACCAATTTTTGAACTGTAGTACACATTTCTTTAGCATTACTGTATCTGCCTTCTTAAGTTTACATTTTCTTTATATTTGCTTGTTGCAATGCATTTCACGCTTAAAAAATATTAATTCCAGAGAATTTCATGAAAATATCAGAGCTATTGACAAAATATGTTGTTCACCATTGTGTTCAAAGCCTTATTATGCATGAATATAGGTATGTTGTTTCAAAGGAAAAAATATATCTTTGTAATCTTTCAACAAAATGTAAAAACGTGATGTTTTTTTTTTTCAAGGAAAATCAAACAAACTATCTATATTCCATCCTGCAAAGATTTCGCAATATACATTTAGAAGATGTTGGAAAGACTTCAGAATATACTGTCAAAGAATATCACTTCTGTTGTTTGTTTGTCATTGTTAATGTTCTATAAATAATCTCCTGGACCAAATTTTAAGATGAATCTGACTGTGGCTCAACAGGAGCAGATGGTGATGAAGTTATTTTCGGGTCTGATAGTATGTCCCTCCCCTCAGGAGTCTTTTTGCATTTGCCAGTATTATTTTGCTACTGTGTATCAGGCCCTTAACGTTTTGAAGAGGGAGTGATGCAGTTCTTTTAGCCTGTTGTTCTTTTTTAGTCTTTCTTTAATTTCCTTAATGATGTGCTTTGTACTAATCCATCATCAACATGGCTAGTTTTGTGATGTTAATACTTAGCGCTAACAGGAACAGGGAACAGGATTAGACATGCAAGTGCCGCCCACAGGGCCTACAGAAGCTGGGTGAGCAGAGAAACCAAGTCCACCTGCCAAAAACAAAAATATGCCCACCACCTCCTGTTTCCTGACAGCTGTTGTTAGCCTGCTGTTAGCTACTTCACTCAGTAGTTAGTCTTGCTTAGTCATCCAACAGGTTAGCGAGTGTAAAGTAAAGAAATATCAGCATGATTTTGGCTAATGCGGCAGTTACAAGTGTGAATTTTCAACAGAATTAATATTTTCACAGCCTTAAACTCAAATAAGGCTGGAACAATTAACCTCTCTGTACCTTTCTGAGGCTCGGGAACTTATCCATGAATCCTCTGCTAAGTTTTCAAAGGAACACTTCACTTAAAAATGTTGTTTTAAGTTCCTCACACAAAACTATTGCAGGTCTTTAGAAAACTTGAAGTCCGTTTTTAACTTAATAGAACTACATAGCTTGTTTTTTATTGGATTATAATTTTTCCTGTTTACCAAAAGTAAAAAAGGATATAACAATATAGTTCTTTGTTGAGTGAACTGTTCCTTTATTTTTTTTACTTAAAGAGCATTTTACTTTTCAGTTTTCAGAACCAAAGGAATGAACACGATTGCTCCTCAGGTTTGGCAGAGGGAAGCAGGTTTCTGTGTTCTCACACACTTGCATGAATGATCAGATTATTTGTTGAAACTGATCTCTCTTTCTCTCTTTGCAGATGATCGTGTGGCTGGAGCGCTCCTTGGATAAGCTGATCAGTATTTTCATTATCTTCCTGTTGGTAACTGGCACACTGCTCATGGCCTTGCTGCTCACAGCTATGGTACAGTGTTTCCAATCCACTGTCCTTGGGCGGATTATTCCACTTCGTGAAAGACATGATCCGTGACTGATCCCAGCCACCGTACACATCATCTCTCACCGATTGTATTTTTGTTCACAGGTGCACCAAGAGAGTGTTCATATCATAGAGGTCACCAGTAACCTGATCAACGAGACTGTGTCCAACCACCCAGAGTGGGCCAAGTAAGTTGAAACATACGTTGGAAGTTAAGAATCTTCTCGAAATGATGCGTAACAGTGCGTGTGTGTGTGTGTTGTAGCTGGCTCCCAGAGGCCCAGGTTGTTCAGAAGGCTTTAAACTCTGCTGCCACAAATGTTTACCAACATGGAAGAGAATGGATCACACTTAAGGTCAGAGTTAAGAGTTTACAATTCTCTTGAAGACCACATGAAACAACATTTCTAACAAATTTAATGAGACTGATAAATGAAAGTAAATGGTTACCAGTGGCTGTGAAAGGACAAAAAAAAGCACCATTACAAGTATCGTAACAGTGTTCCATACAAATCTTGGGCTATATTCCAAGTCTTCTGAAATAATAAGATAGCTTTCTGTGAGAAACAGTCCAAAACTGAAGTTATTCATCTGCTTTTAAAATGTAATTTGTGTCATTTAAATGTGCCCTCATTAAAAAGTATTATTTAAAAAAAAAGAGTACTAGTTATGGAAATAACACGCTTTTAAAGACTATACATTTATAGAATAGACACTTATTTGCATGTTATTTGCAATTAAAGGAAAATCTATTGTAGTTTAAAGTTTTAATAAATGCAGTTAGCTGAACTTTTTTGACTCATTTAAATGTAGTATTGAATAACACAACAACACTAACTCACTTTACCTATGTTTAGTATGTTAGTCAACACATCAAAATAAATGTACTTTGAGTATGCTTAAGTGGCTTTATATTTCATTTATATTATATTGTCTTCGAATACAGATTTAAAAAAAAAAACATTTTTACATACATTACATGTACCTTATATGTAACTGCATACAATTAACCCTCAACCAAAACCCTAAACGTATAGTAAGTACATGTTGTTTGTTAATCTTACTCAGTACTTAAATATATAATTACACTGTAAATAAAGTGTAATAAATCAAATATGCTTTCGTATTGTACTTAAAATCTTAAGTGCACATTCAATTCATTTTGAGTGCACTTTTTTCCCACATAAACAAATGTGACACGGTCGGTTAGAATAATAATCATGGGTTTGTTCGTGTAAAAAAAAAAGTGATGACAACATAATGAATGGATTTGATTTTATCGATATAACCATGAAAAGTAAGCTATTGGTTAATATTTTTTTTATGCTCAAGCAACCGTTACATCAGCAGAAATTAATAGTTTCAGAGCTGGATAAACATTTCAACAGATTACTCGATTTAACATTTGATTACAAAATTTAATTATTAATTGGATTCAAGTTGTATTTCATTTTCAAGTCCTTAATCTTTTATTCTTTTTATCATTTTCATTGTAGCTTCATAAGATGTTGGGTGATAAAGTAAACAACACGGCCGTAATCGAGAAACAAGTTCTGGAGTTGTGGGACCGTCTCTATCAGTCCTGGATTGTTAAGGTAATAACAAAACCTTACTCGGTCACACACAGTCGCTAACTTGCATTATTTGTTGTATTCCAGTCCGTGTGTTTTTATTTTGTAGAATGTGACTCATACTGGACGGCACCGTGGAAACAAGCAACATCTTCACAGGCAGAACAGCTGGCTAGGGGACATACTAGACTGGCAGGACATCGCCTCATTCGTGCAGGAGAATATTGAGACTCTGCTCTCGGTTAGTCAGTGTGTGTGTGTACGTGATAGGGAGTGTCTTAATTTGGCAGATTAATGAATATGCTGTCTTCTGCGATAGATCTTGGAGTCTCTGTGGGTGGTGATGAGTCGAAATGTTGGTTTGCTGATATCCACAACAACCACGCTGCTCACCGTACTGTTCCACAGTGGCACCGCACTGCTCAACTTTGTCCTGTCTCTGGTAATAGACACACACACAGTTGGATTGATT